AATGCTTTCTTTGCGCTGGACCAATTTCGCATTGCACTTGCAGCCACAGCAACGCCTGAAGGCGGCGCTATTCCTCGCAATGTTAATAAAGATGTCTCGTTCTCCGCCAGCCACACCCTACTCGTCTTATCACCTCCAATCGTTACTAGCATTTGGTTGTTCTGACTCCAGTGAATGGCACGAACGGCTTGATTGTGTCCGACATAGACTTTGCCATATCCCTTGAATCGACTAATTGGCAACTTGCACACCTGTGCTGTTCGATCATTACCACTTGTTGCAAGCCATTTTGCATCACTCGAATACTCGATGTGTAAAATTGCTCCTTGATGCAATGCCTTTGGTGATAGCGCATGCTGTCGTTGAAAATGCTGCAGTAGCTCACATTTTGTCGGGTACTCTTTTAAATAAGAACTTACTGATTTAGAGCCTTTGCGTTGGTTGTCAGAAGTACTTCGATGTATTGTTCTCCTAGACTTTAACAAACTAGAAGAGGAACCATACCCAGAAGACTTGATGCGCGTATGAAACGTAATAGGCTTGTTCAAATCATATGCCTTTTTAGAAGGTGTTTTCTTTGCTGATAGCGGTGATGCGTTTAGCACGCTGTCCTCAGGCGGTGGGCCATTCGGAATCACAGACACTTCCCTCTTGGCACTGAATAACGATGTTTCGTCGAATGGTTCGCTAACATTTTCATGAGCCTGATTCCCTCTGTTTGGATCGTTTGATGACGTTAAAGTGTACAACATCGTAAAGCAGGGCTGAAAAGCACTAATTATACCACAGCAAAGAATATTTCGTTGCGGCAAGTCGACGAAGCAAAAGTCTTTCGCTATACATATCGGTTCCAGGGAGCATCGCGGCGTCTCAACAGACTGCTGAAAGTCATGTATAGTCGCGATTTTGAACGAGTAAGCATTTACGCTGAGAAGGTATCCCGGAGTACCTATAATGAGAAATTGTTCGTGGTCCAGCAGCTTACCATCACAACTATGCAAACCTCCTTCTTTAGTAATTGTGAAATCCTTACGTTCTGTGCAAATGTATCTCATCGCCAAGACTGGACAGGAAATCGTAACATTCATCGAGTCATCATCACCATCGCTTGATCCACACTTCGATTTAAACCTCCGATTATTTCGACTACTCGCCCAAAACGGAAGACAATTAATAATTTGAGGCTCCTCTCGACGCGTGTCTGCTTCAGCTTCCTTCAAAGTTGTAAGAGGGATTGCGCTTGTAAGAAATATAATTTGTTAGCGCCATCAATTAATTCAGTCCATACCTGCTTATTCTGCAATAACTTCTGTATGTATGCTTCGACGTTACAGCCAACAAGCTGCTTTGTGTGACCTTCCGTTAAAGCAAACACTTTGACAGATCCATCCGCAAAGCCGAATGCTGCGTCGCCATTCATCGGGTTTAGCGCTATAGACAGAATCGCAAATGCCGACAACACGGCCGATTGATACCACAAAGTTTTGGCTGCAAGGTCCCAGATCTGTGCAACAGCCTTAAAATCAACAACAGATTTATCTGTTATGCCGCGTATTTGCATATACCTTAAATGTACGATCTTCAGAGGCAGTGATCAACAAATTGTGGTGAATTGGATGAAATTTCCCTGCCGTAATCTAGTAAATCCATTCCCGAACAACAGATTGCTTAGTCTTGTTTCTGTAAACCAGATTTAAGCGCAGCTCGACATACGCATGACAGGTGCCCTTCGAGAGTTACCAGCAGCTCTTTTCGATCGATCACAAACACTTTGATAACCCGCTCACAAGCGACTGCTAGTATAGTACTTGTAACATCAAAAGCAACCCATCTTGGCTCTGCTGGTAGATGTTCTACTAGAATGGACTGTTTTACGCAGGACCTGTCGATAACATACCACACGATGGCACTGTATCCCTTCCCATCAGTCCTAGCTCTATTTGCCGACAGAATTATAAAGATCGTACCAATCTCGAGACGCTGAGCCGATCATAATATTCGATTGATGTAGTTGAAAAATGTTTACACAATTGATGCGTTCAGTGTGCCCATGAAGCTCCAAACTTCCCTCTGTGCTCGTTTGTGGATCCATTATCTGCGAGTATGTCGCATAATCGTCGTCCCAGTAAATTCGCAGTATCGCGCAGTCATTGAACTTTATTGCGAAGACAGTGCACCACTGAGATGTGTCAGCTGCCGTCAGTGTTGCCTTTGAGCGCCATTGCCACGCCGCATCATCGAGAAGTTCCATCGGCGATATCAAGAACAATATGCAAATATTTGCCTATCGCAGGTCAGTAAATCAGATTTGAAAATGTAAATTATGCGGTAATAACGATGTTGTAATCTTGTGTACTTAACCCTTACATATTTGGTACAAGCGCAACCCATGTTTTGAATGGACGGTAAGTGTATCAAGTCCCAATTACTGTCGCTCGCTAGCCCAGCCTGCTTTTAACGAATCTCTACTTTAATATTTACATGCTTTTGTTCGAATAAATAACGAGTAATGCATGGCAAAATAGAATACGGATAGGTATTTCTTTTCAAAAACAAAATTAGAAGAAATGTAACAGGGGAATAATGGAACTTCTCAATTTGCCGGCTACTACGCAAGTCAAATCTCCAGAAGTATTCCCCAACCCCCAGCCCTCCGCTCCTGTCGTTAATCCCCTTTTTTGAAGATGAATTATCCAGCTGCTTCCGCCTCACCATCCCTCGCCGACCAGCCCCCTCGCGCTGCGATTGGCTTGGCTCCTGTGTCT